GTTAGGCCTGTCCCTAAGTACATGTCTTGTAGTAGAGCAGGTCACCAATATAATAACTTTTAGTAACCTAAAAGTATTTATTTTTAGGCACCTGGAAGCCATTGTGATTCAAATCTACTTCAATACATAATTTATATAATGTTTTGATTTGGGAAAAAAAGTGAAATTCAGTGTAAAATCCCTCAAGAAATAGGAAGTACCAGAAATAGCTTAATGTAATGAACAATATTAATGCTGTAGCCATGTTTAATTAGACAAATAAGAGATATAAATAAACCTAGTTAATTTCAAAAATAGAAAGCAAGTTGAGAAACTAATAAGAAAGAACGTGTAGATTTCATCCATAAGGAAAAGCTTTTCTTCTCTTTAAATGATTTCAACCAAAGAAAGCTGATAGAACCCATAGCCAAATTTATGGCTAAATCTACATCACAAGATCAACATGTAGCAACTTGCTTCTATTTACTGTATTGGGATAGATTCCCTTGATCTGATAAACTAATTAGGAAAGAAAATGGAAAACAGTAAATTTCAGCTACATCCTCCCCATTCCCCCCAAATAATTCCTTAGAGGTAGAAGATGACTTTAAGATGAACAGTATCACACAGAGGAGAAAACTGTTCCAATTCAAATAGAGGACTCTTCTTGAGTTCAGGATAGACTATTAGAAGAAACAGGAAGGGACAGAAGCCCTCTTCTGTCAACTTTGTTCATTCTTAGGAAAGAAATCATTGCAAAACTGCAAATGTTTCAGCCAAAACATTTGATTTATGACTCAGTAACATACAAATCACCACCTGACATGAGTATCATGAAATGGTACACATACAAGTGTGAACCTGTCCTGTCATATTTTTCTTCAATTTGCCATAATCTCCATTGAGAGAAAAATGTTTGTACTTTTCTGAAGTATTTATTTCTTGCAGAAATTTCTTGGGTTTTTTTTTTTTTGGTAAAATAGTTTTTAAGAATGTGAACCCTAGCACAATTTGTGTTAACAATATCCATAACAATCTACTTTATATAGCACAAACATTTAGCCATATAACATTTGGTAATATTGCCATTTTTTTTATAAACAGTACATGGAGATCAGTGAACATATTAGGACTGTCTGAAAAACAAAACAGTATTTTAATCAAGCTCCAATGGGACACACAGGAGTGTTATTGGGGCAATTCTTCAGATTATTCCACCTTGGGAATATGCTTTTCATAAAACATGAAACCTAACACAAAACATTTTGCAGCTTGTTTTTAAAGTGCAACTTTATTTAAGAATGCCTGTATGGCAGTGGCAAGATCATGTATGCTTCTATAAGAAAGTGTGCCAGAAGAGGGAAGAAAAACTAGTTTATTCCTAACTCTACACTGGCTAAACTATTTCAAATACTTACTCTTTTTAATTCACTAATGAACAAAGAACATTCAGAAAGGTATCTCTCTATATACATTCTTTATAATTGTTTATTTCTAGTTAATTCTGTTTGAAAATCAAAACAAATCAAATCAAATCAATACATGCATTTCTAAAGCTAATTCTCAAAACTGAAACTACATTATGCAATTTAAGGATTATGAGATTTAAAATTCTATTTTGGATATTTTTTACTTCTTGCTTGGTTTTCAAAGAACATAGCAATCATGCTTACCGTTATTTCCCAAAACTGCTAAAGACTAGATTCTAGTTTTGTTTTTTAATGAATGAGGCTCCTGTGACTTTTGGCATTCAAAAGATCTTTCAAAGTGAAAAATACATTAAAAAAACAGCAAGCTGGCAGCCATGCACACTTAATTAGGTTGGAGTTTAGCAGTGAGAATACTAAAACAAAACATTTAGTATTCACTGAGCTCAGTGATAAAGAGTAACACACATACAGAATTGGTCCTATAAAAATGAAAGCTATTTTTATAAATACATTCTGGTAAGAAAATTGCTATTTTTTCTCCATAGCTGTTCAACTTATTTTTGTTTGAATCTTAAAATTATTTTTAAAAAAGGTAAGATTAACAATAGGTGAATAACTTTTATGGAAGACAGCAGTTTCTCCTTAGGTGTTAAAAACAAAAACAAAAAAGCAGAATTCAATAAGGGGAAAAGTAAAATTAAACATTTAGGCACTTTGAGGACTTGTTCTAATGTGTGCCATCAATACTGAGGTAATAAAATTACAGTTTTGAAGCTGTTGCCATGACTGGCAGAAGCATAAATTACTATGCAGAACATTTTAAAAGGAATAAATCTGACATTTTGTCTAAAAAAAGAATGTTTCTGCTACCCATTGACTTCCAACTAGCCATACTCTTCAGTTTTCTGTAAAAGTTTACTAATAACAACCCTAAGCTGAACATTTTAAAACATGTTCCCCCATGGAGGGTAAAAAACATATAGCATTGTGAACATAAGTTCCACAATTGTGTCACACTTGCTTCCCCCCCCCAAGGCTGAAATAATAACTGCTTTGTTTTGGAAGGCAAAAAGAGTTTTTGAAACATCTAACAATATGTGTTGGAGCAAGAGAATGCTTGAGGTTCTCATACAAAATCAGAGTATTATTTTAAGCTAGTACTAAATTTACCCAAATAGATGGGTAAAGCTTCAGTCAAATGTTAACCAATCCAAGAAAATGCTATTAAAACATAACAAGTATATTAGAGCAAACCTGGAAGGGTAATGTGAACATTTTACCTAGAATAAAAATGTGTTAAGACTCTAGTTACACTAAATGCAAAAGAAATCTGTGATTTCCTCAATTTACTTATTTCAACTATAAATCCTAAATTTAATAAGCAGCATTGTTTGTATTAACTTAATAAAAATACCAGGAAGCTTGTGCTCATTAAATATATATGTATATATAAAACATACAAAAAGTACAAGAAAGTCACATTAATAAACTATGACAGGTTTGTTTTTTTATTCTTTGTCAAGGGTCAAATTTCTGTCCACCAAATCTCACTGTGACTTTTGTTCCAGAATTCAGTATAGTGCACAGAATTCAACTACCTGTGCATTCTGTTTTAAAAAAAAAACCACACACACATACCACAGGACAAAAATGGTCTTCTTAAATCAAATTCTATTTGTGAATTCAGCAAAATAATTTCTATAAAATAAAACAGCAAATATTTAAATAGTATAGGGTGGGCTGTATCTGTTTGCAGGGGTATTTGGTTTTTTGACAGGTTCCAAAATAATTACACACATTCAAGTTACCAATTTTTAATTTAAATACAGTATTTACTGATGAGTTCCTTGAAGTCTTTAAACAAATGTTTACTCTGGAACAGAGATACCTCGGGTTTATATTTGACTAACCAGTAGTTTATTTACTTTAATAATCAAACCCTGCTCCTAAGGTTAAGATTTCTCTTATAATGGATATAGAGCTAAGACAATTCTTGCTTTCAAGTAGAATTGTGCATGAGCAGAAAATCAGCAAGTTAACTTGGTGCAGTGGCACTCACAAGTATTGTGTGATTTTGTTGACTTCCACTTCACTGCAGTGCAGTATAAAGGAAAGTATTAGAAGTTTTATCAAATAAGCTCTACTGAAGAAACAAAACAAGCACACCAAATACAGTCTGTTATGCTCCAGGCATCCTGGCATAGCAAAATTTGCATATTTGTTTTAAATCTTTTAATTTCCTATTACTGAAAACTAAGTGTTCTTTTACCCCATCCAGAGACAGAACTGTCAAACATCAGATATGAGGAACATATGTGCAACTGAAAACCATCGGCCACTTTGCCCAACCCTCCCTTCTTGTTTTATAACCCAGGTGTCTGAAGAAAAGGGTTTAAATAACAGTTGTCATTTTGGACAACTGAATTTTTCTTTCCTCACTGGCTATTCTAACTTGGTGTGAAGCCATGCTAAATGTTACAGCTTAACTATAGCTTCAAGTGATTAACTTAATACCAGAATGGAAAAGGCAATGGAAAAAGACCTAGAAACAAGGTATATCACCAGTTTTCCACATCAACCAAAGAATTAAAAGGTTACCAGTCATTATGATGCTCATAGTAAAATGGACTCCAGTGGCAAAGAATTATATGAAAGTATTTTTCTGGTTGACATGAAGAGGCTTACTTTTTGGGTGGGCCAAGGGTAAGGAGTTGAGTTGATCTAACTGCCATTAGGCAGGCAACACTGGTTGTAGAGCGCAGCAGATATATCAAGAAATTAATTGTTGTAGATCTGTGAGTCTCATTCAAGACAAAAAAAGTTTCTTGTTTAAGAATTAACAGTCAAACATTAATATACTATATACACCTTTGCCATTTACACATTAGCATCAGGCCATTTATTACAAAACACTATACACTTTCCACTGCAGGCAGGTTATATATTGACAGCAATTTTCTGCAGATAAGACAGTGAATAGACTCTTCACTCCATGTTGATTAGGAATAGTTTTTCTAAATATCAGCCAGACACAGAGAAAAGTTGGACTGTAAGGCCTGGGTGCACAGTCTTGATGGAGCAAGTTAATTGTGTGCATTTTCACTATTCTTTTGTCTGAGGTGGTGAAACTTCTTCACTGCCTTCAAAATTTTCTTGTGCTCGTTGGCCAGTTCGCTGAGGATTGTTCATATGGTGTGCTGCAGGGCCTGTATATGGCTGTCCATGCACATGGTTATTCTGTAAGA